CTTTGCTTTTCATTTGTTACCTAAAAACATTTTAAAGTGTCTAAATTTTGTTCCATATGTACTGGTTTGTATCCTTATGCAAATGACTCTAATCTTTAAGTTTCTGGGAAAATTGCAGAAGACGTGAGTTGTTATCCACAATATAATTAGCTTGTATTGAGGATTTTTTTAATAATCACAATTTAAAATTAAATGAAATTAAAACTAAATGTGTCACATTCAAAACAAAACAAAAACAAATTGAATCCTAATATTGAAGTAAAAAACCAACCAACTGAAATAACAGAAGCCGCAGGGTTCCTTGGTCTGACTTTGGACAGTAAGGCCCGGTTCACACGAACGACAAACCTAGCAGACTAGGCTTGGACTAGGTAAGCACTAGGTAAGCACGACTGGGTAGCGGACCACAGGATCAAATGGAGCCGTTCATACGAGCCTAGGTAGCCGACTAGCTAGTCGTGTTCAAGCTTGATGTCCCAAAACCTAGTCGGGCCCCGCTTCCCAGTCCGTCGTGGCAACTACCCAGTCGCCCAGTCGAACTGCGTAGCAGTACATGTAGCCTTATGGGAGCGTTCACACGAGCGATCGGGTAGTCGAGCTGCAGCTCGCATTCTTACCTTTGTTCTCATTGTGCACCAGTGATGGAACCGAGTGGTTTTGATATCGATATTTTCACCTAGTCCGTGGACTTGTCGCTCGTGTGAACCGGTGTGATCCTATGGTCCGCTACCCAGTCGTGCTTACCTAGTCCAAGTCTAGTCTGCTAGGTATGTCGTTCGTGTGAACCGGGCCTAACTTGTCTCGGGACCAACATTCTAAACTTGTATTAAATAAAATACCCCCACCGCAGCAAACCTGTCAACTAAGTGAATTTCCATTTGTATGAATTGATTTTCAAATCTATTTAAATAACATTAGGTTTAACGAGTACCTAGGTTTACTGCTACAAGGAAACTAATAGAGTGTGTTTTTTAGTAAAATATTAATAGCTTAGTATAAAATAAATAGATTTGCCAAGTTTGATCAAAATATATCAATAAACAAGCTAACTACATTTTACAATATTCTCCATAAGAATAACATGGGAATTTTAAATTTACAATTTTTTAAATTTTCTCTGTTACTAATAACTGTAAAAAATACTTTTATATACCAGGGTTTCTATCAACTGGGAAATCCAAGAAAACCGGGAATTGTACTTAATTTTTTACTGGCCATGAAATGTGAGACTTATGTCCTTAAATAGTTTTATGGGCCATTTTAAATATGGCATTAAAAGTCGTAGTTGGTTAGGAGCAAATAAGAGTAAATCAGATGTTTGTTTACAATTTTATAATTTATTACTAGAGTAATTGTAACGTCGCCACTGTGACGACCATAACTTGACAGGAGACGGGACTAGTGAAAATAAAAACTACATTATTAGTTAATACCACGGGCTGCACGGACCGAGATGGAGGTGTAACGGTTGCTAGACTAGGACAGACTGAAGTAGTGGTTAGATACACGGGCATGGCGTGGTCGCGGCAGCCATTAGGAATTTATAAAAAATCACCTTATATAACGTCACAGACGTGGCGTGATATGGTGTGATGTACTCACACACTAAAACTCATTTACATTTTATACAAATCTGGTTTCCTACTAGAAACACTGTTTTACAAATATATTGAATACATAAAATCATCAAATATATTACAGTAATCATGCAATAAACCCTCATTAACAGTTTCAAACCCATAAATATTTTATCACGACTATCAAGTGTCAAGTCAAGTACTTCCATGAACTGTTGACTCAGTAGCTTAGCTCATAAAAGTTGTATCACTTTTATTCCTTTACAACTTATTTATTTATTACTAAGGTAGTTATCATTAGATCCCAAACCTATTTTATCATGGAAATAATAGTTTTATAATGGCTGTTAAATTTAACTTCTTAGTTGTACTTTCATCTTGAAGATTCAATTTGCTGCTGGATTGCCTACTGCCATAAAACTCTGGCCTCTTTGCGATTTGAAAAATGTCTAAACTATGCAGTATTGATGTTTTACAAATGATTTATATTTCCCATATTCAATACCATAAATCTTATGGCATATGTGAATATGGGGCTACCTATAAATCAAGTGTAGAAACAATTTTGACAATACAGAAGAAATCGATCAGAGCTATGTTAAGAATGAACAACGACGATTCTGCCAAAGAACACTTTAAACACTGCTTATTTCAGAATCCTTACTGTGTATGGTTTATGTTCTTGAGTGTATTATGTTTGTCAAAAATAAAAATTTCAATTCACCAATTAAAGAAAACAATCATAACTACAATACACGTAACAAAACTAACTTTGTAATTGGAAATCATAAATTAAAGCTCTTTAAAAAAAGACTGTCAATGCAGGATATGAATTTTTAAAATTTATTCCTTTGAAAATTAAAACAGAACAAAAACCCAATGTTTAAAAAAAACGCCTCGAGGAATATTTGATGGACCTGTCCTTATACTCTTTAGTGCTGCTATCTTTGAAGGATTAAACAGAACTACTTCAGCTGCGTTCACTAACTGTCACTGTATTGGGTGGGTCTCGCGCACTGCGGCTGTTGGCGCACGTCGAAGTAGGCCAATGGGTTAACGGAAAGTAAATAAAAGAAACGTCTTATAACACTTAAAACATATATTTACGCTTATACTGTTACTCACAAGACGGTAAATATACAAAAACGATGGTAAGTGGTGATCGATTTCGATTGGACACTCCAATCATCATCAGACCCAATAGGCGAATGACAAGAATCTTGAATGGCGTCCCTACTTATACCCTATTGGCTACCGGAAGCACCGGCCAATACATTTTTATAAGTACAACTGGAATCAAAATGTATTTGTTCATTAAGCAACTTATTTCTATCTTTACATTTTTCCTTATAAATATACAATTCTTCCCAAGCATTCATTACATATCCTTTCTTACAATTCTTTAAAATATCTAGACTATCCTCCATTTTTCCTAGTGAGTGCCCATTTTGTAACAGGTGTTGTGCGACATTTGATCTTTCCGGTTTGTTGTTCCTCCACGCAGATATGTGGTTTTTGAAGCGGTTTACGAAGTTCACAGTCTGTCCAATGTAGAAGCTATCACAATCGTTACAATTGATTTTATAGATGCCCGAAGTGTCAAATTTGTTACAATCTTCTATTTTTGGATGCAGTATTTTACTCATAGTGTTCTGAGTCCTGTAGGCTATTGAAACTCCGTATTTCTTGAATCTGTTAGCAGTCCTTTGTGTTGTAGTCCCCGTGTAGCTAAATGTGATATATCTGGTGCTTTCCTCTTTTATCTCTTCTAATGTTGTTCTGCTGTGTAGTGTATTCTGTCTATCGATTTTTCTCCTCGTCTTCCTTGCGATGTCCTCTATCGTCTTGGTTCGAAATCCATTCACTTGGGCGATCTTCTTAATGGTGTCCAGTTCTTTTTTCCTATTGGCTTGGCTAAGTGGGATCTTATAGGCTCGGTACAGCATAGATCTAAAGGCTGCGGTCTTGTGGATTGTCGGATGGATAGACTTGTTGTTGATTGTAGTGTCCGTTTGCGTAGGTTTCCTGTAGATGTCAAACTCTATCTTGCTGTCTTTTCTCTCTAATGTGAGGTCCAGGAAGTTGATCTTTTTGTTTTCTTCAAACTCGTTGGTAAAGGCGAGGTTTGGGTGGTGGCTGTTTAGTGTCTGCATCATCGTTCCGTGCTCCTGCTCCTGGGCTTGTCTGAAGATAACAAGAATGTCGTCTACATATCTAACATACAGTTTTACATCATGATTCTTTCTTAAATTCATTAACATTTCTTTTTCCTGGTGCTGTAAAAAACAAAAAGATCAACTTCCTGGACCTCACATTAGAGAGAAAAGACAGCAAGATAGAGTTTGACATCTACAGGAAACCTACGCAAACGGACACTACAATCAACAACAAGTCTATCCATCCGACAATCCACAAGACCGCAGCCTTTAGATCTATGCTGTACCGAGCCTATAAGATCCCACTTAGCCAAGCCAATAGGAAAAAAGAACTGGACACCATTAAGAAGATCGCCCAAGTGAATGGATTTCGAACCAAGACGATAGAGGACATCGCAAGGAAGACGAGGAGAAAAATCGATAGACAGAATACACTACACAGCAGAACAACATTAGAAGAGATAAAAGAGGAAAGCACCAGATATATCACATTTAGCTACACGGGGACTACAACACAAAGGACTGCTAACAGATTCAAGAAATACGGAGTTTCAATAGCCTACAGGACTCAGAACACTATGAGTAAAATACTGCATCCAAAAATAGAAGATTGTAACAAATTTGACACTTCGGGCATCTATAAAATCAATTGTAACGATTGTGATAGCTTCTACATTGGACAGACTGTGAACTTCGTAAACCGCTTCAAAAACCACATATCTGCGTGGAGGAACAACAAACCGGAAAGATCAAATGTCGCACAACACCTGTTACAAAATGGGCACTCACTAGGAAAAATGGAGGATAGTCTAGATATTTTAAAGAATTGTAAGAAAGGATATGTAATGAATGCTTGGGAAGAATTGTATATTTATAAGGAAAAATGTAAAGATAGAAATAAGTTGCTTAATGAACAAATACATTTTGATTCCAGTTGTACTTATAAAAATGTATTGGCCGGTGCTTCCGGTAGCCAATAGGGTATAAGTAGGGACGCCATTCAAGATTCTTGTCATTCGCCTATTGGGTCTGATGATGATTGGAGTATCCAATCGAAATCGATCACCACTTACCATCGTTTTTGTATATTTACCGTCTTGTGAGTAACAGTATAAGCGTAAATATATGTTTTAAGTGTTATAAGACGTTTCTTTTATTTACTTTCCGTAAATTTAAATAACACGTACAATGCTGATCAAGAAGTTATTTAATGGGTTAACCTCCCAGGAATAAATTCATTTCAGTAAAACATGTGTAAATTTTTCAGGCTCCAGTGCTTAAGCTGGCAAACCGCATGTTTGTAGAGAAAACGTCCGGCATCAAGGAAAACTTTCAGAAAGATGCAGAGAAATACTTTCTTTCATCAGCAGAAGCATTAGATTTCTTACTCAACCATGATAAATCTCGTCAACACATCAACTCTTGGGTTGAGGAGCAAACTAATCAAAAGATAAAAAACCTTCTTGCGCCTGGTAAGTACAATGTATTATATTCTATATTTTGATGCGTAGTGAAATATGATCAAATCTTCAGTTTTTCAAGTGAATGATACTCTTTATTTCAACTCGATGTATTTAACTATCTCCAGCCATGTAAACAATGTCTTAGACCACTTGGCTATCAATCAAGCCGAATTATATTCCTATTTCCCACTATGGCACTTTAAGAACTTATCAGACCACCAAAGGCAATTTATTTAGTGTTTGTTGTTTTGAATGTTGTAGATGTAATCACAAGCGCCACAAGACTTGTATTGGTAAACGCAATCCATTTCAAAGCAGATTGGGCCAACAAGTTCAATGAAAATGATACTAAAGAGGAAGACTTCCACCTGTCCAAAACTAAGACTGTCAAAGTTCAAATGATGCATGCTAAAAAGAAATTCTATTTTTCCCACGATGATGAATTGAAGGCAAAAATATTGCAACTGGACTATGCTGTGAGTAAATATTAAGTTTTTTTAACTTACTCTAGTTGTGATCACACAAATCCCCTATGATTTTGTTTGTTTTGATATCTCTCACACTTTATTAGATCTTGCCTCACTTGGCCACTCCATCCATCAACATTAAATATTGAAAATAAAAATTGGTGTAAATACCTGCTTCTTGTAATCCAAATTGTTGCTGTTATGACGCAACTAGTTTCGACTTATCACAAAGTCATCTTCGGGCGTCCAGGGGATGTCGAATCACTTCATCAGAAGGTCGTCAATACACACATACGTTCATACACGAACATGGTCACGGTTACGAACACGAACACAGACACGAACATTGAAACGAAAAAAGTACGATTTAACAAGTAAAAGCTAAAAATGGTAACACCGGTGAGGATGATGCGTCACGACCGGATAGATGTAGCGTCTAGACTGCCGGTCAACGTGGTCGGTTGGCGCTGTGACGTCATTCCTTTGTTCTTGTTATCGGTCAGCTGTCCCCATTCATCCCCGGCTCTCTCTCAAGTACCTTAATGGCCGTGTCGTAAACATAATTAGATTGGAAGGATAGTTTGTCATTTAAAATATTATGTTTGTCAAATTTATTTCTTCATTGTAGTCAGTTGGGTTCATTGGCACTGATATTAATCTGTTTACAAAGCTATTGTATGCAGCTATCTTTTGTGAATGTGGTTGATGAGAATCTACGTGGATGGTTTGGTCTGTGATGGTAGGTTTGCGGTATATTTTGAAAGTGAATGCTGGGCCCTGTTTTGTTATGGTTATATCTAAAAAATTCAGGCTGCTATTAGTCTCCTCTTCAAAAGTGAATTTCATATTTTTATGGATGTTGCACAGATAGTTGTTCAACAATGAAAGTTGTCTGCTATTGCCGTTGAATAGTACAATTGTGTCATCCACGTATCTGTGGTAAAACACTATTTTATCTTTGTAGCGGTTTTTAGCTGAAAATAGATATTCATTCTCAAAATGGTTTAAGAATATTTCTGCCAAGATGCTGGAGAGTGGGGAGCCCATGGGTAATCCTTCTTTTTGGATATAGAAACCATTCTGAAATTGAAAATAGTTTTGTTTTAATACCAACTGTGTCAGTGACAATAGTTAACCAATGGACTCGGGAGGTAGGTTGGAATTTCGTGTTAGGTTCTGTTGTAATATTGCCAAAGTTTCCTCTATAGGTACATTTGTACAATTGCATTTAGTGAAGACGAGTTATCATTACTTAACAAAGGCCTAAATTTCAACTTCCCTAACAATAAGAAATCCAGCCTTTTTTCAGAATTACTAAATATAGAAGCATCTATAAAAAGTGTCAAATCAGAGGAATTACGAGACTCCACACGCATCTTAATAGGGAATTAAGCAAGAGTCATCCTAAAAAACCAACAACATTCAAAGAAACAAAATTTAAAATATAAACCCTTGCAGCGAACCTTATCTAGCATCAAGAACAAACTTGCCGAACACAAAGCTCTGATAACAAAAGCAGATAAGGGCAGTTCGATCGTCATCCTGTATATTGACGATTACGTAGCAAAAGTTACCGACTTCATGAACAATAATAATATTGAAACTTTGAGTAAAGATCCCACACTCCTTAACACTAAAGAAATTAACAAAGCTATCACCAATAGTAAACATATAATCACACCCAATGAAAAAAATAGCATTGAAAGTCCCGAATCCACGTGCCCCCATATTCTGTGGTCTACCAAAAATCCACAAACCCAATATCCCTATCAGGCCTCTAGTTAACTTTAAACCAAGCCCAGCCTACAAACTTGCTAAGAAACTGGATAGTATAATTCGAAACCACGTAATTTTGGAAAATAACCACAGTTTAAAAAATAGTTTAGAATTGATTGAGAAGATAAAGTCACACAAAATCAATGGTAACCGGAGATTAGCATCGTTTGATATAGTTAATTTGTACACAAATGTACCTATAGAGGAAACTTTGGCAATATTACAACAGAACCTAACACAAAATTCCAACCTACCTCCCGAGTCCATTGGTGAACTATTGTCACTGACACAGTTAGTATTAAAACAAAACTATTTTCAATTTCAGAATGGTTTCTATATCCAAAAAGAAGGATTAGCCATGGGCTCTCCACTCTCCAGCATCTTGGCAGAAATATTCTTAAACCATTTTGAGAATGAATATCTATTTTCAGCTAAAAACCGCTACAAAGATAAAATAGTGTTTTACCACAGATACGTGGATGACACAATTGTACTATTCAACGGCAATAGCAGACAACTTTCATTGTTGAACAACTATCTGTGCAACATCCATAAAAATATGAAATTCACTTTTGAAGAGGAGACTAATAGCAGCCTGAATTTTTTAGATATAACCATAACAAAACAGGGCCCAGCATTCACTTTCAAAATATACCGCAAACCTACCATCACAGACCAAACCATCCACGTAGATTCTCATCAACCACATTCACAAAAGATAGCTGCATACAATAGCTTTGTAAACAGATTAATATCAGTGCCAATGAACCCAACTGACTACAATGAAGAAATAAATATTCTTAAACACATTGCTGTCGCTAATGGTTACCAGAGCATTCTAATTAATAAACTGATTCCTTAACATAAACAAAAAACCTCCAAAATTAAAGAGAAGAAAACATACATTTCAACAGAATTTGGTACATCTCTTAGTAGTAAATTTAAAAACATCATGGCCAAAAACAACGTCACTGTGTCCTTCAAAACAGTTAACAAACTTGAATCTTTGTTGAAAGAGCAGCCTCAGACGACAACTCCTGTTTTCGACAAGACTGGCGTCTATAAGATCAGTTGCGACGACTGCCCTAAAGCCGGGTTTACACGATGCCAGTTGGCGAGACAATTGCCAGGAGACAACTGACTGGCTTGGAATTACTGGCTTCGTGTAAACACTTCAGGCCAATTGGCAAGCCAATTGTCCCGCCAACTGTCCCGAAATTCAGTTGTCTCTGGGAGTAGACTGAGGACAATGAGCTGGGCCCAGTGAGGCCCCCACCCCTCGAAAACCCAGTTGTCGTGACAATTGGCACCGTGTAAACGGTGTAGAGGCCAATAGCACTGTCTTGTCTTTTAGCAGTAGTACCCTGGTTCACTGTAAAATGCCTGGGCAAGTGTTGGCCACGTGTGAACAGGTTCTCGTTCAACTTGCCTGGCCTACGACAATTCCAAAACCACGTGATGCCAATTGGCAAAGACAATTGTCTCGCCAACTGGCATCGTGTAAACCCGGCTTAAGTATTATATTGGCCAGACAGCTCGCTCTTTTAAGAAAAGATTTAAAGAACATCTCCCAAAGAAGACAACATCCGCTCAAACATCAACCTTTGCCGAACACCTGGTTTCTGATAATCACAACTACACTAATATTGACAGCAACATGTCCGTACTGCATATATCTAACGACCATTTTAACAAAAATACATTTGAAGAGTTTGAAATATACCAAGCTGTGAAATTTGACAAACATAATATTTTAAATGACAAACTATCCTTCCAATCTAATTATATTTACGACACGGCCACTAAGGTACTTGAGAAAGAGTCGGGGATGAATGGGGACAGCTGACTGATAACAAGAACAAAGGAATGACTTCACAGCGCCAACCGACCACGTTGACCGGCAGTCTAGACGCTACATCTATCCGGTCGTGACGCACCATTTTAGCATTACCATTTACCATTACCATTTTTAGCTTTTACTCGTTAATCGCCTCCCGCAACCACGGCAACACCCGTTAGCGTAACTTCCAGGCGACATCGATAATCGTCTCCTGTGCCTGCGCAACACCCATGAGCGTAACCTTTGATTCGGTCTTACATACAATTCATTTGCAGAAATTGGAATTTTATGGAATAATGGAGCACGGACTAAATTTTTTTGTCATACCTCTGTGGAAGACTACAATTTATTAATTTAGGAAAACATATGTCAAATTTTAAGGAGGTCCTTGCTGGGGTTTCTCAAGGGTCGGTGCTGGGTCCGGTTTTGTTTATCCTCTATATTAATGATTTGCCTAACTCTATACCTTACAAAACAATTTTATATGCTGACGACACATCCTTCATTTCATCAGCTGACAACTTTCACTCTGCAAACCAAAGTATAGAAAACGCCATTGAATTGGGTAAGCTGTGGTTTGAAAGTAATTTTCTTGAAATAAATTATGATAAAACAGAAAACATGTGTTTTACTTTGCGTAATATTGAAGCAGACAATGCGGTTTCTGTTAAACTACTTGGAATATCCATAGACTCTAAACTCACTTTGGAAATGCATACCAATAATATCATTTCAAAATTGTCAAGAGTATGTTGTTTGATAAGAAAACTTAAAAATTGTGTTTCTAAACCAACACTTTTAATTGTTTACCACAGTTATTTCACTCACACTTGCTGTATACTGCAATATACTGTGGGGTAGTAGTTCAGGAGCTCACCGGGTCTTTACATGGCAGAAGAAGGCTCTCAGAATTATGTTTTAAATTCCAGATAGGGTTAGTTGCAAAGCATTTTTTGCTGAAAATAGAATCATGACATTCTCTAATATTTTCAATTTTAACAATTTAGTTTCCGTTAAAGAGAATCTAAATAAATTTGTTCCTAGCAAATCCATCCACGGGTATATCCCCAGACAATCAAAAGTTATAAATATTTGCAAATAAAACTATTTAATAAACTTCCAATATATTTTAGAAATCAGAAAAGCATTCATTTGAATAGGTCAAAATTATCAGATTTGCTTACAAGTTTTTGCAGAATGTAGATTTTTCAACTCTTAAATGTGAGGCCAAGCAGTCTTGATGATTCTTTGTTCTTGTTATGGTTTTTTCCCCTGTTAATTTAAAAGTTTTGTATTATTACTGATGCTTTATCCTTTTAAGATTCATTTAACTTTATTTTAACATTTTCGGTAGCCTTTTTAATATTTTATATAACATATGTAACAAAACATGTAACAAATATGACCTTGTCTATTGTAATTTTTATATTATTAAATGACAATAAAGATTTATTATTATTATTATTAATAACTTGCAGTCTCGGCGACTTTGGTAATCGTCTCCCGCGAATGCGGCAACACCGGTCATCGGGGACAGTGATGATCGTGTGCCACGATTATGATCCACGATCGGCTTTCGGTTAACCGATCTCACTCGGCATTATCGCCCCAGACAGGAAACAAGTAGACGGTCGGATACTAGATCGGATATTCCGAGGAGTCGGTCATTCCGGTTCGGTTTCCGAGGTCGGATATGAGGGGTTCTACTGTAGTTGACTAAATATTTTATCTTTTATATTAGATTTACCTTTGTTGTTGCTTGAGTTCTTGTCGGTAATATGTTTACAAGAACAAAGGTAAATCTTACTAATATTATAAATCTGAAAGTTTGTGAGTTTGTGTGTATGTTTGTGTGTGTGTGTGTGTGTTGCTCAATCACGCATAAACTACTGGACGGATTGGGCTGAAATTTGGCATGATGATAGCTCACATTCCCGATTAACATTAAAGCATATTCTTATCTCAAAAACCCTTTCGGGCTCCACCCCAGTGGCTCTGTAGTTCCCCATGTTAATCTTATGATTTTCCATATTTAAAAGGAATTAATGAATCTTAACAGCAGTTTCAATTAAACAAGTTGGTTCTGTTCTATGATGTTCAATAGCATAAAAGTTACAAGGATTACCAACAGGGTGCAGCGCTATTATTTTTTTTTTTATTTAAGACAACAGCTAATTTCCAACCAAAAGGTGAGTGAGCGTAGCGAACGAACTTCCACCAGGACGTGAATGAGCCATGCGAATACTTATGAAGTTAAACGGGGCGAAGCCCGCGGGTACAGCTAGTCTAATATAATTCGAGTTCTTAAAACTGGCATACCATAAAGTACTTATCTTTTATCTTGGTTAAGATTTTAAAATTTGGTTTGAAGTATTTGGTCATAATACCAGAGGACAAACAATAGTTTACAAATAAGTAGATTGTTTTATTTAGTAAAACAGTTCAAAAAGTGGTTAAATAAATTTAAACAATTTTGTAAAATACAAAATGCCCGCTGCAAAAGTTGGACTAAAACCTTTGACTTTTGGATACTGAATTAGACATTAGGGTGGGCTGAAAAAAATTGATTTTTTTTCAAAGTTCTAATAGTGCGGAAAAGTTGCAAATCATAGAGACAACAAAAAAGAAAAAAAATTATCAAAATCGGTTACAATTTTCCAGTCGCGCATAGCCCTAATGTTTGAAAAAAAAAATTGAAAAATCACGTTTAGAAAAAAAAATTCAATTTTTTTTTATTAATGTTTATGTAATGTAATAGTTTGTAATGTCTTCTGAATGAGCCTTAAAACATTGTGTTTTAGTTTGGTTTATATTAATTGATATCTTCCGGTCGCGCATAAATCCCACAGTTTACCAAAATATTGGAAAATTTCACATTTTCACGCATTTATTGAATTCGATAAATAATATTGATTATTAGTTTTATTTAAGTTATGACCATAGTAGGCCAACTTTTTCAATGGAACTGATAGTGAGTCACTTGTCTAGCCGGGTTGAACGACCTCTCCCCTCCATTCCACCCCCTCTACATTCCTAAGATCACGCCACGCGTCTCCCTCCCCTTATAGTTTTGTCAGTCTGCTTCTGTCAGTTGTGATTGCAGTGTCCCACTGTTTAGTTAAATATCAGTTTTTTGTTTTGCAACTGTTTTGGTGTTTTGCTGACGCATTAAGTTATTTTACTGTGGGGTTCCTAAATGAAAATAATCATGTTTTCTATAGTGAATGGTTCTATTGTTGAAATCGGTGAAATTCTATTGGTGAATTGTTTTCTAAGTGGTTCGTTATGTGTGTATTTTATAACTTCTTTTATGGTTTGAATTTCATTATTTGTTGGTATTGTTTTGGGGGTGAAATGGGACGATTGTAAACAGTTTTAGGCGTTACAAATGGCTTTAGAAAGAAACCAAACGGCTTTGAAAGTACAAAGTTTTCTGGGGGATGACCCCCCCCCCCTTTATTAGGGTGCTTCACATCCACAAGCCCCTCAGTAGCCCACCCCTTGACAAGATCCTAGAACCGCCACTGCGTAGGAACACCTTCCCACACTGGTTATCCAGGTGTACTTGTAGTCCTTGTCTTCTTTCAACTTGCTTACATTCAAAACAAAGGCCTTCCAGAGGTCCATGGTCTCCTTAGTGAGTGATGGGTTGACTTACTCCTGGCTCTCGCTGTTACCGTATAGCCTAGCCCTAGCCCTGCTCCTGAGAAACCGGTCTTCACTCTAGGCTTGCTCCTCATCATCTTTTTTTTTAAAAAAGACAATGTTTTTTAATTTAAATAAACATTACCTATATGAACTAACATTTTTAGGGAGACAATTTTCGCATGATAGTCATTCTTCCTGATGACATTGAAGGCTTGTCAGCTCTGGAGGAAAAACTTGAAACAGTCAACTTGAGCGATAAAATCCGATACATGAACAAACCTACTGTGACAGTGGCCTTACCCAAGTTCAAAATGGAAGAAACAATGGACCTCAACGAAATTCTTAAATCTGTAAGTCCCTTTGTTTAGGAACAATTTTATGTATCTAAAATCCTCCTTGTAAAATTAAGGTTTTATCTTCCAGCTTCAGACTATCCTTATTGTAATGTTTTGTTCCCAATCCTTAAGTTCATTTTTTAAACATTGGAAGCCATAAAAGCTGGATGTAAACAGGCGATTGGCTGACAGTGTTTTCTAAAAAAAACATGTGTTTTCCTTTTTTAACAATTTCAAAAATTGTCAAAACTTATATAGATAAGTTTTACCCACAAGTGATAAGCATTAAGCGATTTTTTATTTCCCTACCAAACCTTTTTTTAGTGTATTCTTGTATTCTTTTATTGTAGTGGTCTTTTTGTTTTGCCTTAATAGGGATTAAAACAATAACTAGCCCATTTATTCTGTTAACACAGTTTTTGCCTGATCTGTTTTTGGGCTGTGGTTTGATCATGTAAAGATGTGCCCAATTTGTTCATACGGTACCTACCTTTGTTCTAATCTATTGTATTGTTTCAGGTTTTATTTTGTTGTTTTTTGCATGTTTTGACTAATACAGTAGAACCTCGGTTGACCGAATTCGGGTTAACCGAAATCCGGGTTAACCGAAATCCGGGTTAACCGAAATCCGGGTTAACCGAAGCGGCTTCCAAAAAATAATACAGGGCTAAAATATAAGTAATACGAAATGTAAAATGCTTTAGTAACTTCAGTTGTTTAGTTCAAAGTATTTTCTAACCCATTGTAAAATTTCTGTAGCTGAAATAACACACTATATATATAGACATTGTTTTAAATTCATTTTTCCTACACGCCATGGTAATACATAGGCAATTTTTAGCATATGACGGGTTAACTGAAAAATTGGTTATCCTAAACGGCTCTCCCCCCATTATTTCGATTAACCGGGGTTCTACTGTAATGGTAAAACTTACCTTGTCAAACAATCCTTTACATGTATTTTAGTGTTGAAAATTAATAGCTTAAACATGTTTAACACTTCTTAAATTGTCTTGTAAAACTTTTAATACAGAGTATTATAAATTATGCTAAGTCCACACTCTTCAGGATTACATAATAACACAATAAGGTGGATCACTACAGTTTCTTAGGTATAAAATTAATTTTTGTTTAAGTTTGACTTGAACTAACATTGTAATGACAAACACTGACAAAAGCGATACAAGCCGGCAATGCCCGAGCAGAAAAGCTCAGTACTACTTTTGTTAAGGTTCTGCAGACGACTCATCTAGCTTACCAATGGTTAACGGCCAAATTAGTACTGTGTGGGATTTTCATTTTCTAGGTTATTTTGGATCATTTGTAAGTTAATATCTATCTATATATATAATACGTGAAGCTGTTTTTTGTTAACGCAACTCCTCCCTTATTTGTGGACCAATTTCAACGTTTGAGGTGTCAAAAGATTCGTCTCAATATGTAGTTTTGCAATAAGGTTTTAGAATTCTAAAATTCCTACCCTTAAGAGCGTGAGGCCCACTCAAAGGTCGGGTTTTCCCCATAAGAAATACATAGAACAAATTTAAACAAAAAAACAGCTGTTTATAAGAAGCTGTAGCTTTTTGGGAGTAAATATTGATGTTTGTAATATTTAGTAGGTTAAGACCAAGTTAAACAGTTCAAATCAGTTTTGTTGGAAGAACAGAAAATGCCTCAAGCTCAAAGAAGAAATATTGAACACGGTAGTAGGACACAATTAATACTGTAATAAGATATTTTGTGCATATGAGGAGGGTAGAAAAAGAGAGGTCTGGTCTAACAGATACCCATCCAGACACATTCACTTTGTGAGATGAATAATATTGGCCAGCTCTGCTATGCAAATTACTTTGGAAGTGAAAAAATATACGAAGCTCATAGTGTTGTCACGGTGGGAAAGTAAACTTGCCTAAATGTCAGATCAAATGAATGTATGCAAGAAATGTTTACTTCAGACACTGACAGATCGAGATATTTCAAAACATTTTGTTAAAAATTACGTTAACCAACTTTCAATGGTGTTGCTGCTTTAGCCTATTCAAAGCAGGTTATGGCTGTCCAGTTGGTAACCCCGAGTTTGTGGGTAAAAAATGGAGCACATGAAATGGTTGACATCACCCCACTTTTCAGGTTACTCTACGGAGAAAATTCGTTTGATCGGGGGATGTCTCAAATCAAAGGAATAAAATGGCCCAACTTTAATTACTTAAGAAAGGTTATCAGTACGGTAACAGTGTTCTTTAATTCTCAATGCTGGAAAAACTTTGTTGCAACATAAGGTATTAACACGAATTGAGGCAGATCGTTTAGCATTCATTAGAAGTTATCAGTTAAAATCGAGAGCAGAAATGATGTAGGTGAACCTTGGTGACGCCATTAGAGATATTTAAAATTAGTTTCTTACAAGTTTTCAAATAACTCTAAGATGTAACTAAAGTTACTAGAATTTAAGCATAAGGTTTTCCTCGGCGTTATGTTTCATACTAGGCAGCTCATTGAGCCGCAGGGGTTCCCTAGTAATACCTATAATCATTATTTTATAGTATTAATTTTAAGAAATCACGAATAACTTGCTATTTTTATTTTACTTTTAACAGAAACATTCCTAAAAAGTAATTATTGTTTTCCGACCTAAAAATACATATATTTAGGCCTAAAACAACGACTCGGGTAACCAGGGCTTGGATAATTGAGAGTGTACTGTATTGTGAACCTGATTCAGTCTACTTCCAGTCCTGCCCGCGGCAATGTACCCGCGTAAATCTATGTGGAAGTACAAAATAAAAAATGTTGGTTAATAATTTTAGAGGTTCCAGTATTTTTTTTATTAAGATTTAATTTTTTTTACAGTATTGGTAAATAAACAATTATTTTACTACTACTAATGTACATTTTTTTAGGTATCTTATTGAAAGTATTGGTTTTGATGCTGTAATATTTTTCTAAACCTTCAGTTATATGAAGGTTAGTTTTTTTTTTTTTTTTTTTTACTTCCCAAAACATATTTTAGCTTAATTATTTGTTGCTTATAGCTGGGAGCACGAGCCATGTTTGATGAGAAGAAAGTTGACTTCAGTGGCCTTTCTGATCAGTCTCTTGTCGTCAGTAATGTAGTTCAAAAAGCTTTTGTTGAAGTTAATGAAAAAGGCACCGAGGCGGCAGCGGCTACAGGTAAGGAACATTTTGGTGGTTATTTTTTTTGAAGTGTAGACCATGAGACTAATTATGGATTTATTTGAAAAGAGGGAGAGCTTACCTAGCTTACCTGATAAAATTAGAGTCCAAAGGCACCAGTTCCCAAAAAATATGTTACTAGTTTAAATTTAAAAAACAATTCTTGCAATTGGATCAGTGACGTGACATTTTTTTCTCTGATGTTTTTGGGGATCGATGACTTTTTGTAACACTGAAGAAAGCAATAGATTTGAATTGAAACAGACATTTCTCAACAGTGATATGTTATGTATATGACCTTTTTGTGTTTTAATTAATCCCAGGACTCTCATCTGGACTATAATAAACTCATTAATTATTAGCCATTTATTTTTACCAATCCAGAGGCCATCATGAAATTAATTTTTTGTTAACCGATTTTTGTAAAAAAACATGATCACTTGTACAGCAATTTTGTTGCCCATCCTACTTGTTGCTTACACTTTGTAAATTTGGCCTGCTTCTCTATTAGGATGAAACACACTAAGTTTAGAGATACAATATTAGGCTGTGCAGGATTGCATAGTAATTACATTGCAAACTTTGTTGAGAAAGAAATCTCCTTTAAAGTTGCTTTTGTCCAAAAATTAAAAGTAGCTCAATGATACTAGCCCTTCTCTAATTTCACATTGATTTAAAACATAATTGGGTTTGCATTGTGATTTCCTAGAGTTAAGAGAGACTCTTAGTACCTACTGTAGTATAAATACTTTTATTTGCATGAAACCTGGATTTGACCATGACTTTATTCTCAATATATTTGTTTGACATTCACAGTACAGTATGCATGAAGCCAAAGTAGTGTGTTATGCATGAAGCTATCTATGTAGTTATAAATGAACATCTAATAAATCAATGACATTAAAACATTTATATTTCTATGACCTAGAGGTGAGAGTCAATAGACTTGAAGGAATAATTATCTATTAGTTATAATATGGCTGCATTTTGAAGTTAATTGATTTAATGTTAGTAATATTCTACTAAAATTGTGTTATTAAGGCCCCTATTAGACGAGGTAGCCTGGCGACGTCGCCAGCGACCAAACTGGCTACTCAGCTTGTCAAGGGTCATTGATTCTTATGGATGTTATTACACTAGGGTAGCCAGCGACGCAGCCACACTTTGGCGACCGACTGGCTACCGAGCCCCGTCGCCACTTTGGTAGCCACTGGCTACCCATATTGACGACGCTGCGTTGTAGCATATGGAGCTTATTACACTAGGTCGCCAGTATCACGTTGCCACTCGGTCAGTTCATATCACGGGGGTACTTGCACACTGTTGTGTTGCGTTCTGTTGTGTTGTGAGTGGGTGAATTGTTCACTTCAGTTGATAAAATGTCTACATCTGATTCAGTCGAAGGGATACGCGAAGATATGAAGAAAAAATAAGAACCTCCGAAAGGCGAACAAAAGAAAGAATCAAAGAAAAAGCAAGAAGAGCCGCCGATAGGCGATCATAAGAAAGAAGCAAATAAAAAGCAAGACGCTCATAACAAGTACAAGTACAAGACAAGCACTCACAACAAAATGAGTAACGGCAGTAAAATTCTAGCTACTCAACTGGCTACTAGGATTGGTGGCCAGTGCGTCGCCAGCTACTGTCGCTGGCGACGTCGCCAGGCTACCTCGTCTAATAGGGGCCTAAGGTTTACTTCTCAAAACGACTTGTTGCATAGGTGTCAGAGGTTAACTTAACATAATGTGTTGTGGTGTTTTAAGGGGTTTTAAAAAGTGAACCTGTGATTGAGGTTGTTGTGTTATTGAAGGCTGTGATTAGAGGTTCTACTGTATATTAATAAGTAATAACCAATCTTACATGATATTTTTATTAAATATATCAAACGTTGATATTTGCTTACAGTGAAACTTACAGAGATACATTTTATGGCTGAGGTGTTTGTATTTACTGATTGTAGTATAGTGGCAGTTTATCCGGTGCTCGCAATGTTATTCATGGTATAGTGTCACTAGCATAATTTCTTATTTAAGTTGATAACAAAATTCATATGGGAAGTCAATGTAATATAGTGGCGTTTGGTGCTAGACTGTTGGTTGATATTTGAATATTGGCTGTTATATTGTGAAATTATCAAGTAGTTTGTATACTAACACAACATCTTCCTACAATCTTTTCCCATTGTAATCAGTACTTAGGGTTTTGTGTGTATGTGTTTTAGCGGGATTGATTCGTATGCGACGAAGTCTAGATATTGAGGAACATGAAGAGTTCATAGTGGATCGTCCATTTGCATTTATTATATTAGATAGTATCAATAATTTTGTTGTATTTGTAGGCAGATATAAAGTGCCAGAAACAAAACACAGTGAAAACATTAAAGTTCATGATGAGTTATAATTATTCCATGCAAACAAATCGCTATCTCATTGTTGATGTTAGCCTCCGGATTACGTTGAATATAAAAATTGTTGTAAATACCTGCTTCTTGTAATCCAAAACGTTGCTGCTATGATGCAACTAGTTTCAACTTCTCACAAAGTCATCTTCAGGCGTCCAGGGGATGTCAAATCACTTCATCAGAAGGTCGTCAATACACACATTATATGTTCATACACGAACATTGAAACAAAAATGTACAATTTATTTTTAACGAGTAAAAGACTAAAAATTGTAACAACGGTGAGGATGATGCGTCACGACCGGATGGATGTAGCGTCTAGACTCTCGTTAAAAATAAATTTTACTTTTTCGTTTCAATGTTTGTGTTTGTGTTCGTGTCCCTGACCATGTTCGTGTATGAACGTATAATGTGTGTATTGACGACCTTCTGATGAAGTGATTTGACATCCCCTAGACACCCGAAGATGACTTCGTGAGATGTTGAAACTAGCTGCGTCATAGCAGCAACATTTTGGATTACAAGAAGCAGGTATTTACACCAATTTTTATAAATCGCAATCCGTCTGTAAACTTAGACATCATTATAGTCACTTGATGCTGAAATATTTTTTTAACAATGTAGACTTCAATAACTGTTTCATATAATAGTTGAGTTTTTGATTCCAGTCTTGGTTTTGGGTGGATTCTGTTGGATTAAGTTTTTTAATGCGCACATAGTCTATATAACTATACAGCCCGATGTGTTTATTTTATATTATACAGGGTGATCCACGGGAAACGGATGGATTTAAAAAAGCTATTGCTCTTAAAGTTTTAAACATATTGACATAGAAATTAAGGAAAAGTTATGCCATATACAAAATAAAATACCTTATTTTAAGTTTTGAAAATTACCTCACTCAAATTGTGGCCATTGAAACGGACACACATTTTCAAGCCCTGCTCGAAAACGTTACACTTTGTTCAGTAACTATTCATTGATTTGTTCAATTTGGCTCCTGATTGCGGTCTTCAATTCTTCCCGAGTACGTGGTTTTAATTTTTAAACACCTGTCTTCATTTGACTCCACATGGAAAAGTGATTCATTGACAAGTCCGGTGAACGCGGTAGCCACACAACATCACCAAACATCAGATCACACGCCCAGAAAATGACATTAAAAATGCTGCCATAGAGGCATTGGCTGTGTAAGAAGTTGCCCTATCTTGTTGAAACTATATGTTCTTAATGCAGATTTCCTACCTTTTAAGTTCGGGAATGAAAAGTCTCTTACCATGTTCATGTATCATGCAGAATAATCAACAGTGACAGGAGTTCTTCTTCTTCAAAGAATGATGGACCATAAATCCCTCATTTTCCTACGGCACACTAAACTGTGTTCCAGGTGTTTTTATTTCATAACTGACCCTTTAGTTCTAGATAAGAATCTCACCTTAAAATTGTATTCTGACTAGGGATGGACGGGATTGAATTTTTAGTTCGGGACGGGACAGGACGGGATTTTTATTTCCTTCCCGATTTTCGGGACGAGACGGGACGGGATTTTTTTCTGTGCATAAAAAGAAAGTCTTGAGTATTGCAGTTACCAAAAAAGGCATACAAAATCAATCTTTACCGTTTGTGGCACTGATCTATAAAAACCGAATAATGGGTAACAATTTTTCTGGTCCCTATAGAAACTTGTGACTCGCGGTCAAAAGGACTCGCGGTCACAGTGCGATCGTCAAAATGACGGCGGTAACGGGGTGATCGTCGGTATGACTCGCTGTCATGGGGTGATCGTCGGTATGACTCACGGTCACAGCGCGATCGTCGGTATGACTCACGGTCACGGCGCGATCGTCGGTATGACTCCGCGGTCATGTCGTGATCGTCGGTATGACTCCGCGGTCACGGGGTGATCGTCGGTATGACTCGCGGTCACGGCGCGATCGTCGGTATGACTCCGCGGTCACGGCGTGATTGTCGGTATGACTCCGTGGTCACGGGGTGATCGTCGGTATGACTCACGGTCATGGCGCGATCGTCGGTATGACTCCGCGGTCATGTCGTGATTGTTGGTATGACTCCGCGGTCACGGGGTGATCGTCGGTATGACTCGCGGTCACGGCGCAATCGTCGGTATGACTCCGCGGTCACGGGGTGATCGTCGGTATGACTCGCGGTCTCGGCGCGATCGTCGGTATGACTCCCCGGTCACGGCGCGATCGTCGGTATGACTCCCCGGTCACGGCGCGATCGTCGGTATGACTCCCCGGTCACGGCGCGATCGTCGGTATGACTCCGCGGTCACGGCGCGATCGTCGGTATGACTCCGCGGTCACGGCACGATCGTTGTTATGACTCCGCGGTCACGGCGCAATCATCGAAACGACTTCGTCTCCTGCGTTCGCGGACCTATCGCTCGCAATAGCGGCGTCATCGGCACTCGCGAAGCGGCAAAATCGCCGGCGATCGGACTAAATCCCGTCCCGAAAAATTCCCGAATCAAATGTAATCCCGTCCCGATAATCGGGAATATTTTTTTCCCGAAAAATTCCCGAAATTTCGGGACCCGTCCATCCCTAATTCTGACTCGGAAGTTCCCCATGAC